TGCAGTGGCTCCTCGATGACTCAGGATTCAGTATCTCCACAGGACAGGAGCAGACTGAGTCTGTGTCTGCCCCAGCCCAAAAGCTTTCTTAGGCTTATTTACAAGCATACATAGAATATCAAATGCAAAATTGCTTTGCTTAATATAGTTGATATTTTTATATTTTAACATTTCCAATAAGACAAATATGTACTCATGTATTCTTTGTGGATGTTAAAGTAAGTTTATATATATAATAAATAACTCAAAATTATTATTATATAAGTAATAATTATATAATAATATAATTATTGATTTGCTCAATAATTATACCTTCTAATTACTAAGTTTTATTCATCACTTATTTTTTCTCATACCTTGAATCTAAAATCTGCCCCCATTTCCCATTTTGTCTTTCATGTTTTTGAAGAAGAATAAATAGTCTGTTATTACTTTATTTATCAGTAGATAAATTGAATTTTATGAAAGTTTGCATGCCACAATTCCTTACTAATTACATTGTTCAGTTCTTCAGTGGTAATGGAAACATCTAATTTATTTCAGAAAGGTGTTGTGTTGTCTCTTTTTCTACTAAATTCCCTTTCTCTGCCTTGGTAACTTGGCTTACATGAGGGAGAAGGAGGCTCTGTCAGAAGGAATTTTTCAATTCTTCTCTTCTCATCCTCACCAAGTCAACTCCCACTGCAACTCCACTATCAGGAAGTTCCCATGAAGATTTCCTGACCTTTACTTCTTGTTTGCCAATTTTCACAATTCTCTCAAACCTCTTTATCAACAATACCCTCTTACTTTCTGAGACTTAAAAAAATATTTTCTACAGAGAATGCTTTTATTATTAATTCAAGATACCCTTCTCCTCCATCTGTATTATTGTCAGTAAGAAACAGAATTAGACTAGTTATTCCAATGGCCAGTGAATTGTAATTATCTAGCCAGACTCCCCTGGCGAGCCTATGTTCATTAGGATTTCTACAATTTAAAGTCCACACTCCTCTTCAGTCTTTCCTTAGATGCCTTTAACTTTGAGGTCTACCTGTGGCATGTTCTGTTCCATGTATGGCTGCTTAAAGATAGTTGGTCTGGAAAGTTATAGCTCATTCCAAATTCGTTCCTTAAAAGATCTCTTTAGTTTTGCATTGCTTATCTTGTTAAAACACAAGGCCATTCAATTTCTGTACGTATCCTTCCCACTAACCACTTATTCAAGTATCTAATTTGTATTAGAATATTCCATTGAGTAGTGTTTAATGTGTGGTTATAATTCAGCAAGAAATAGATGGGTCCCTTTAAATTTAAGCTTGAAAGGAACATAAGATCATACTTTGACCTTGTAATTATCTTCTGGAGTAGGGCCAATGACTCTCTATGCACAGGTCTTGGAAGTGACCTGTGTTTTTATTATGTTAACAAAGAGGTTGAGGAAATGAAACTCAATTATTAGAGGCCTACTTCCAGCTTCACTTTTGCCCTGGCCCTGGCCCTGGCTATGATGTGTGAGACTTCTAATCATATAAAACCCTGGCTTTATACCTTAACCTATCAGGTTCTATATGAAAAAGAAGAAATTATTTGGAGAGAAATCAGCAACTAAGATAGGTATTTCCTACACAACACTTTTCGCAGAGCATCCTGGACTTCTTTGTTTCTCAGACTATATACAACAGGGTTTAGTAGAGGTGTTATTACAGTGTAAGTCACTGAGATCAGCTGGTCTTGGTCTTTACTGTTATCTGACTTGGGCTTGAAGTAGGCAATAGAGGCACAGCCATAGTGGATGATGACCACAGTGAGGTGGGAGGCACATGTGGCAAAAGTTTTTTTCCGGCCTTCAGCTGAGGCAATCTTGAGAATGGTGGAAATAATAAGGACATAGGAGACAAATAGAAAAGTTGCAGGGGCTGTGATGACCATGAAGGTGAGAAGTAATGTCAAGATGGTATTGAAGACTGGCACTGTACAGGCCAGATCTAAAATTGGTCGGACATCACAGAAGAAATGTTCAATCAGTGTCTTGCAAAATGGCAGCCTGAATATGGACACAGCTTGAACTAGAGCAAACAAGAATCCTGTGACACAGACTGAAGATGCCAGAATGACACACACCCTCCAATTCATGATGATGTTATAGCGAAGAGGGTTGCAAATGGCCACAGAGCGATCATAACCCATGACTGCTAGCAGGAGACAGTTGATGATTCCAAATCCAAGGAAAAAAAATAGCTGAATCCCACAGCACTCCAGGGAGATGGATTGGCTCAGACCCACAAGGCTACCAAGCATGCGTGGGATGATAACCAGAGAATAGAAAGTCTCTGAAGTTGAGAGAACACTTAAGAAGAAATACATGGGTGTGTGAAGGCGGTGGTCAATGCGGATAATGGTCACAATGATGAAATTGCCAGTCAGAGTCAGGATGTATAGGACAAAGAAGACAACGAAGAGTGTGAGCTGATTTTCTTGGAAATTGGAGAAACCTTGGAAAACAAACACTCTTACCTCTGTGAAGTTGGTTCTCTTCATTGGGGACCTTACATCTGAAATCTAAAGAGAAGGTCTTAGTAAAGAGATGACCCTGACCTGTACACTGGTGAGAAAACTTGAGTACAGCAGGGACTCAGTTCAAAACTCCCTGGGTAGATCCATATGAATTTCAGTCCATAAAGTCCTTGTCTCCCACGCATGACCCCCTGAATTTAATCACTAAAACTTACATTTTAAAAATACATTAATAAGATTCAGGCATGGTGGTCTGTGTTTGTAATCCCCGCACTGGGGAGGTATAGAGAAACATATCCTTGGTGCTCACTGGCCAGGCAGACTAGCCTCAGTTAGTTCCAACCCAATGAAAGACTCTGCAGTATAATGTTTAAAAAACAAACAAATGGCTGGGCAGTCAGGGTTCATGCATTTAATCCCAGCACTTGGGAGGCAGAGGCAGGCGTATTTCTGAGTTCAAGGCCAGCCATGGTCTACAGAGTGAGCAGGACAGACAGGGACATACAGAGAAATCCTGCCTCAAAAAACAAAAAAACAAAACAAACAAACAAACAAAAACTCAATAACAACAACAACAAAACCAAGCAAATGAAAGTGGATGACATTTAAAGAACTACAGCTGAGTTGGCATCTGGACACCACGCATGGACACATGTTCACACATGCCTGCACATATAGCATACACACACAAATGAAGGAAACAAAACAAACAAACAAACAAAAACAAAACAAACAAACAAACACCCAAGGCTATGTAGTGTTGGTGCATGCCTTTAATCCAATCATTGGGAGGCAGAGGCAGGCAGGTATCTGAGTTGGAGGCCAGACTAGTCAAATTGTGAGTTCCAGGACCAACAGAGCTACACAGAGGTAGCCTATCTTTAAAAAGAAATCAATGCATCCTTCAGAAATGATAGACTGGATCCCTGGGATACAAATAAAAGTACAATTTAATTAGCTTTAATTAAGAACTTGATTTAAAGCAAGTTCTTTTCAAGTACATCATGGTACTTTGTAGGAATGAATGCTTAATGGTCCATGAAATCAATCGTAAAAATGTCTTAAAATTAGATTATCATTAAGAAGATAGCTACATTCTTAGAGTAAAATGTAACCAAATTGGAAAATATAAAGAAAATAGGTTGAAAAAAGTCAACGTTTGGCATTCTAAGCCATGGTTACATGAACTCATGATGATTACTAGGAACTATTTGGAAGAAGTCAGGAAGAGGCAGAGGTGGTCAATGAACACAGGGAAACAGTGTACTGTAGACACAGTAGGACAGCTGCACATAAATCAGAGCAATGGTTACATGCACAAACTCTGTGCAAGCTTGGATCAAACCTCAATGCAGAGAAGGGAGGGATAGCAATACAGATATGAAATCCCACATCAAGCATGCAGTTATTAGAAATTATTATATTCTGGGAGAGGAAGAGTCAGTTTCTTTGAGACTTAATTTTGTTCCTGGTTACTTGACCATGCTTCAGTGGAAGGCCACATATGTAAGAATATATGGCTAACACAAATTGGACACTGTGTTAAAAATGGTTATAAATTTGGATGAGTAAGGAACTGGGATATCTAAGAGCAGTTTGGGAGGGATGAAAATGAACAAAACATATTATATGAACTTCTCAAGGGACCAATAACTAAAAAAATGACAGGGAACATCCCAGAAGATGGGGCAGAGGATCAGGAAGTTTGCTGGGAGATCTTATTTTTTTTTCATTTAATAATGTCAGAATCTACACACATAAGGTCTTACCAAGATGGCTGTGCAAATATGATATGTATATGGATGAAACCAATGGAAATATCAAAATAAATGGGAGTAGGTCACAGGCTTCAGTCACATATAAAAAACCACAGGCAATGGTGGAATGTTGAGGGAAATAATCTTCTCCATATAAGAGTACATAAATTGGTGTTAAATGAAATTGTGTCAATGAAAGTATACATAAAACCTAATATTATATAGAGTGATAAAGAAAGAGTATATGGGAAGTCTTGGAATTAGGAAAGAAAAGAGAAAAATGCAGTAATCATAATCTCTAAAACAAAAGAAAAGCAATCAGAAGAAAAAATAAGAAATTTAATTCAAAATACAGATATTAGTAAAATTTTAATGTTACATTGACGTAGAAAACACTACTAAACCAATCTGCCTCTTAAATATAGATAACAAATTCTTGCATGAGATATTAAATTGAATCTATCAGTATATAAAGTGAATAAAGGATAAAAGTTTGTTTTGAATGGAAAATTCATTAAAAATTAAGAATCTGGTTGTATGTTTCCCAAAAAAGTATTTAAAAATGAAAATGTCATATGATTATTTGAATTGCTAGTAACATAGGCTTTTAATTTTTTTCAATATTTGCACTTGAGGAGAACCTGTAGAAAGCTGAGAATAAAATATTTTCTCTAAACTGATAAAGACAGGCAGCAATCCTGTAGTCACCATCACACTTGATGCCAAAGTATTGAAGGGTTTTCTTCACGATTAAGAACAAGATAAGTGTGATGGCTTTATCTACTTCTGTTCAACATTATATTGGATATTCCAGCCATCCTTGTAAGGTAAGTAAAAGAAATTAAAGATTCCAAGATTGAGAAAGAAGAAATAATATGGGTCAGTTTACTTATAGATTGCATTTATAGAAAATTCAAAAGATGATACTGATAAGTTATCAGAATTATTAAGAGAACTTAGCAAGGTGTTTGGCATAAAACTTCCTATGTGAAACTTCCCTTCTCTTCTGCATTTAACAAATTGATGCCAAAATGTAAATCTAGAGAGTGTATCATTTATCATCATTTCAAAAAAATATCAAGTATTCATGAATAAAGACCTTTATAAAAAAATTCCAAAACCTTAATGAATCATACTAAGGAAGTTGAAATAAAGAGTTATATTTATGAATACTAAGACAATCTGTCACTATTTTATCTAGTCCAAAATTGATCTCTGGAGTCAATCCAAGTCACTTAAAAAGTTTCTAGTTGGTTATTTTTAATTACATGTTTTCTGGGTTAACAACTAATACTAATATTTATGCACAAAATCAAATCCCAGGAGCAGTCAAGGAAAAGTTTTATCTTTCGTATATCAGTACTTAGGGTGATGTCAGAATATAATTAAAATAGTGTGGTGCTAACACAGGGCAAAGCAATCCTAGCAAGGGAAAAAATGAGTGCTGAATGATAAAATATATGTATTACATCATAGGTGGGGATTAAAAAATAATCTCCTTAAGGCTAGTATCCTAATATTTTCCATTTATATATCCCTCTCATCTACAGTTCCTCCCCCCGCTACTCCCTTCTTCCACCATCATCTTTTTCCTAGATCCATTCCCCTTCCATTTCCTCTACAGAAAGAAGCAGACTTGCAAGAACAACCAAACAGGACAAAGCAAGATACAATCAGTTAAGACAAAGCCCTCATATCAGTGCTGGACAAGGCAACTCAGTAGGAGGAAAAGAGGCCCAAGAGAAAGTAAAAGAGTCAGAGATACACCTGTTCCCGCTTTTAAGGATCTGACATTCATGTGAGCTATTAGAATACAGAGCTTATACTTAGTTCTAGAGATCCAGAACCAACCCAATATTTGGCTTCTTTTAGGCTTTTGACAAGTATTGTTACATGAACCAGTGAATGACAGAATGTTTCTGAGTACTTCCAGTCTGCAGGAAGAGACTCATCCTTTGATTGGATGTCTACAGAAGCTCTGCCTCAGGTACCCACAACCAGGACACAGTAATTAAGTAAAAACCTGGATTTCAGAAGTTCAGGGTTATGAGAAGTAGAGCATAGGATTCCTACCTTTAGGGACATTGCAGGTATACAAGCACGAGACACTGCAGGATATATAGATAGGCAGGAAGCAATAATGTCTACAGCACTCATAAGTGGAGAAACTGGAAGGCTGCCTGAGAGAATGGGCACAAAGGGATAGTATAGAGAAAGCCAGATGATGAAAACGTTGGCTTGTCATTTATTCTTCAGTAGGCACACACAAATGGCTCTTGATTTTTTTTCAGGTCCCAGTCCACATTTAGGTAAATAGCTCCATTTCTAAAATGATAGGAGAAATGGATTTTAGCCTAGAAGAGCTTCTATTTTCTGCACAAGTAGCTACATAGTGGGCATGCAAAGAAATGACTTCAAGAAGGACAAAAGGGTTGTCAATATCACAGATGTCAAAGAGCTACTTCTGAAGCCTGTATGTCCTGACCAAAACTTCTGCTGGTAAAAAAAAATAAATAAATAAAAATAAGAAAAGAAAAAAAACTATCATGAAATAAAAACTTCAGTCTCCATTGTGGGAATGATGGACAGAACACTGAGGCCAGGAAATTATTGCAGCTAGGTCTGTGATTATTAACAAAGAAGACCAATAAAGATAACGATCAATGTATCTGAATGGAAATACAGAGAGTCTCTCTAGTGTCTAATGTGAGAACAGTGACCATAGTCTTTCCTATTAAGTCATTCTGAAACTGGAATGAGACAAATATATAGTACAATGATTCAAGTGTCTAAATTTCTTCACCTGTTCTTTACTTATAGCTAAAATTATTTTGTACTAATGTAAAGTTGTAATGAATACCTTCAGAAGTAATCACTACTATTACCTTTTAAAGAAGATATCATGGAGGAAATGTGAAGCAATACATCCTTCTGTAAGTATAAATATGATTGTAGAAGTTGAAATAAAAAGTTCTAAATTATCTTGTTAGGTGTTAATTTGTATATTCCCTGTGAAGGGTCACAGTGAAAGACTTAATGAGGCTTACACGGTGTAACACAGCTTTTAGTATCTGAAAGAAGGGAAAGGTTCAGGGAAGAATGGTGTTCCTTTTTTGACCATTATTCCAAGTACACAAAAACACTGAAATAGTATATATTTACTTAACACACACACACATGCATATATATGTATGTATATATTTGATTCATCATACACAGACATATATGTATACATATATATGTGTATATATATATATACAAATATATACTTACATACATATACACATATACGTATATTATAATAGCAGTCTTATTTATAGTCTTTGCCTTGACTTTCAGCGATTCTTCTATCATTTAAAATGAAACCAGCAAGAATACTATATTTCACTTAGGACTCAAGCAGCCAGTCTGAAAGTTATCAAGAAAGTTTGAAACTTTAATATCAAGAAAATCATTAGAACAAGAGAGGGTTAAGTAGATGAAAATCAGAAAATTTAAAAGCCAATTCTCTTCTGATTTTTATTTTAATTTTTGTTTCAACACTTACTTCTTGAAAACTAGAAATGGAAATCACAGAATTTTTCTTACGGAGCTGCTGTGTCTGCAATTTAAAAAAGAAAGACCTGGGATAGGTTGCTTGAAAAAGTCAGAGTGGACTAAGTTTAAAATTCTAAGGCAAGCAGGTAAGCATTTCCAGAGTGTCAGAAGGAGTTTCATAATGTAGTGTCAATTTCCAGGCTAAACTTTGACTTTGCTAGCCTCGGAAAGTCTTTCTCTCAGAGATAAAAGCTCTGGAAACCCTAACTCTAAGAATTCTGTCTGGGTTTATCCAGAAAAGGAAACAGATCTATTAACTCGAGTACTCTGAAGAATTCCCTTGAGAATCACTCCTGGGCACAGAGGGCACCAGAGACCTAGTGTGACACCCTATCTCAGGGGCATCCTTAGGAATTTGGGCAATTAGTAGAGTGAAACTCCTTGGTTTTGGTTAGTGACTCACGAGAACAGCCTGTATCTTAGAAACTGAAATGTGTTTTGTTAGCAAACCAACGAACCCAGAATAAACAAGCCAAAGGAATTAATTATCTGTTATTCTATGTCTGAGGCTGTTTTTCCCATTTATTGAATAAACATATTATTGAGCATCCACTCAAGTGCAAGGCAGTATCTTAGCTGGGAATACTATCACCACAAAACCAGTAATGGTGTTTGCTTCCACAGAGATAGATATCTAGCATTGAGTCATAACAAGCTGTAGTTAAGCTGTCACTATGTTTGTACAAATTTTAAAATAGAACATTTTCTAGATATTTGCAGCCCTTGTACAAACTGACTGGTCACTAGACAAGGCATTTATGCCATTACCAGGGAAGGTTTCCCTCCTTTATCCAGAGAGTGCTCTCTCTAAGACTCTTGCGTTGTGAAGTAGACTATAGGCAGGATTTATGAGATGGTGTTGTTAATTGTATACACTGCCTGCACAAGCAGGCAAATTGGAAATAAATAAATTCATAATTGTATCACTAGAAGGGCATATTATAAGGGACATGTAGGTCACAGAAAGTATCTTTCAGTATTTTACTGAGTCATAAAGTTTGAGCTTGGATATTAAGACATATGTCAGTCAACTCAATGAAATAGGGACGGAAATTTAAGGTAGAGGAAGAGAAGATGAGCAAAAGAATTGAAGAATTAATGGAAACTCGTTCCAAGACATGAATCAGCCCCAAATGTGTAAGAAGAACATGAGAAAGTGATTATATGGAGTTCATGAAACTGAGGATGCACAAGGCTTTGCACAACTTCAGGAATATGTTGAGTTAGGAAAGCTTCTATGATGTGATGACTCAGTCATATGTAAATTTGCAATAGAAACATAAAGCAGTGGAACAAAGACTGGCAGTTCAGGACTTGGAAAGGCAATGAGGGAATGATGGCTGTTGTGCAGTGAGAGTGCTTTGGAGCTAGAGCTATGGCGGAAGATAAAGTGATAACCCTGAATAGTTGAGACCCCAATAGCTAATCTCTCATGGCAATCTTAACACACATGGTCCAGAGACCTGGCTTTACCCAGCATGGGCCCAAGAGTCATTTATCAGAAAGTGATTATCTGTGGAAAATGTGGCTTTTCATCAAAATCTTCAGGGGTTGCAGTTGTGAGCCTCCTGGGGAAGCCTGATAGAATAGTGTTCAACTCATAGTATGGAGAATCATAATTGTCTCTTTCAATTTTCAGAGTAGAGAGCTTAAACAAAGAGGTGGTCCTGTCTTCTTTGAATATATTCTTGAAACACATGTAAGTATGGAATACTATGTCATAAGATGTTAGTGATAGAGTTGTTTATACTGGACTAATTTCAGAGGTTTTTCTCATTCTGTATCTTGCTCATACATCATGGCTATCTCAGGAAATAAGTTAAAGTGATAACTGTGCAATACATTGCCAAACTCTCTCTCATTTGATACATTTAGAAGTCAGAAAATAAACTTGAATATGATTGGGAATTGCTGAATTCATTGTAAAGTAGTTATTGTAAGAAACATTAAAGTTAAGACTTCATTTCTTATTGTGACATTTAAGAACCTTCAAGCAGAACTCTCCTTGTTTTCTATGGATAAGTGTCAGTTCAGAAACATTGACCAGTAATATTCTGAAATTATATACATCTTTAAAAAATACCTGCCACTTTGATGAATATATTTACTATTCTTTAGATAAGGCTACAAAATCACTTATAATATGTGTTTGCATCAATGTTGTATGAAATATTCAAGATGATATAGCCACTCAAGGCATTCTGGGAATACAAACATACTGTAAGGCATGATTTAGGTGAGAGGTCATATTTCTCCATTATTTTAATTCAAGTAAGAATTTAGTTCACCATTACTAGTGATTAAAAATTATTGTCATTGCACAAATCCATTTCCTGTCTTTTTCATTCAGCATATCACAATCAATTAAATAGCATCAAAAGGCTCTACAAGCAAATAACTCTAATTAGTATTGCTATTTTCTCCTCAACTAGATATACTCTATACATCTCCTAAGTGCCTGTTGCCACTCGATTCTTAACTCACTGGTTTCTCTTTCCGTAGGTTCAGGCAGTTCTTGATAGTTACCTCACACATATTCAACCATAGTATTCAGGGAACAGCCATTACTAGGATTCCCACAAGTGAGTCCACATTTCAGTTAATGAGCTTTTTAAGTTGCCAGAGCTATTCTAATCTTCTTGAGTAGCTGCACTGAGCTCAGAATATATATCTAAGTGCATACATCAAGACATGTTGCTTATGTTATCTTCTGTCTGACAAATTTAGAATCAATTTCTATATACATTTCCCAGGTTGATGATACTATGGCTTAGAACCAATTATGGATTAGGAGACTGTATCTGTAGGTCTTTCTATGCCCACTCTTACTCTCAATGACACTAAGACTTATTTTTATCAATGAATGTCTAGGCCTTAAGATAGGCTAATTCACATCTAGCTCATAACTCAGTTATTGCATTTATACTAAAGTTCTGTCACATGGCTGGATAACATTCTTCAGTTTCATTCTTCTGTCTTTCTCTGCATCTTGGTGGTAAATTTTCCTGTACCTGACTCTTTCCCTGAGTTCGTCTCTCTGTCTGGAACATTCATCTTACTAGTCTGCCTTTTGATACAGGACATAGGATTTTTATTTTAACCAATCAGAAGGTACCTTAAGCAGGTAAAGCAGGACAGAGACATACAGTGTACAAAAGCATCACTCTAATATCTCCCCCTCTCAGTCCAATAGTGTGTTCTTTCTCTAATACAACAAACTATATACAATAAGAACGATTATGAAAACTATCAGGAAAGAATTGCTGTTCATAGTGTTCAGTCCATATGTATTGAACAACCTTGCACTATGTACTTTGCTATTCATCCTATCTTGGTGAGTCCAAAATTCTGTACCTTCCTATCATAACTTTGATTTATCAACCTAAAAACATCTTCTTGAACCTTAAATCATTTTCTTAAATCATATACAAATTACTTTAAATTATAAGTTGGTAACTATCTAGTCTTCAACTCCATCAGAGGCCAGAGAAGAATAACTACTATGTGAGTAAACAGGAAGTGTAAGAGCAAGCAGCTTCCAAATCTATAGAAATCACAGAGGTTGCCAGATACCTGGACTATCACACAAGGTTCCTCTGTAATGTTGGAAAATCAAGTTTTGGCCTTCTGGCCAAGTGTGTCTGACAGACTTTTCTGTAAAGCAGGATTTTTTTTTTTTTTTTGGTTTTTCGAGACAGGGTTTCTCTGTATAGCCCTGGCTGTCCTGGAACTCACTCTGTAGACCAGGCTGGCCTCGAACTCAGAAATCCACCTGCCTCTGTCTCCCAAGTGCTGGGATAAAAGGCGTGTGCTACCACCACCCGGCAAGCAGGAATATTGAAAGACTTGCGTACATTGTCTTGGCAAAGCTTGACAGTCAATTTCCTTTGTGTCCTATTTTTACACAGCTTGGGCAGCATGCTGTCTACAGTTGAGGCAAGGTCAGTTTCTTGCCCAGTGGCTAGCTTGCCACATATGAAGCAAACTCCATATGGAGGTGCTTTGAAACCCATCATATTCTTTGAAGTAATCTGGGGATGCTGCCAGGATCAGACATGTCTCATTGTTTAAAAAGCCTTATGTTAATAAAAACCTGTAAATGACATACTCTGTAGATCTGTGAGATTTCTGAAGACTATCTATAGTATATCTGAATAGGCAAACATTGCTTGTTTCTAGCTATTTACTTTCTGTTTAACTTTGAAAGCATCTATAAGAGACTAAATGAAGTTTATTTCTGCAATTAGCTAAACTAGTATGTAGTATGACTATAAGTTTATTTGATTAACTACAAACTTGCTTTTCTTAATTATCCTTAACAGTTTGTAATAGTAACTTTAAAGGACTAAAACCTAACATTGCATTTTAAATTAGTTACATAGGTACAGAACCTAAAACAAGAGTTGAAACATATATATAGTATATTGTAGCAAAATATAATTTTAATTTAGCATCAATATACAACATATATACCAAACATGAAATACCTGGCCTGTTAATGCTTTTTAGACTAAAAGTAGATTTAATAATCTACCCTTTAATCCTTTCATTCCTGTATCCCCCTCTTTTCTTCTCATTCATTTTCTTCCTCATCCTCTAGATAGGAGAGAAAAAATGATAAATAAGACAAAAAAGAAAGAGGAAAAGAAATATTTGGATCCAACATCCTTTACTTTCTTTCCTCCCTGACCAAGACCATTAACAAATTGTGACCATGCCCCTTTAAATGATGACAAACATCCATCAGTCCCATAGCCCATCAAACGACCACCCCCCCAATGCTTGAGAATAGGGTGTCATCCTGTTTAGATTGTTTCCAGATGTATTGGATCAACAGCATATTTGGGGGGCCCTAAGAAAACTGTGACATTGGCCAAGACATAGGAAAGCTAGCTGTTTGTTGTCTAGTATCTGTGTGAGGGGGAAATACAGGGCTTAACTGAAGTCCTGAATAGAACAGTATGTGAGACTGCATGATCTTAGCTAGTTGTACTGATGTTGTTCATTAGACATTTTCAAGGAACAGTGTTTGAGTCAGTCTTTAAGGTAGAATAAGCTGGGCTATTTGTTTTATATTCTTTGGTGTCTGCCCCTTTTGTTCTGTAAACATATAAACTTTAAAAGTAACATATATGTCTGCATTAATACATATATGGAATGAGCAGTGTGCACAA